AAAAGAGATGAATTATTATCAGATGATGAATCTGAAATTGACAGTGAAGTTGAAGAAGAGCAAATCAAGATAGGCCCTGTAAAGAAACCTAGAGTATCGGAAATACTTCCTGGAGTCATGCAAACTATACCACATATCCCCGTCGCTTCTTATATGAATCCTACGTATATAGCGCCTTCTATTGAGCCAATAACACCTAAAATTGTACCACCGGTACTTTCTGATGCATATTCTAACCAACCTCCAACTTTAGAATCGCCAGTACAATATCCTTCAACTTCAAAATCTGAAGTATACACCAATTCATTTCCAACTGAAACCAAATCAGAGGAAACTGCAAATTCACTAGTTCAACAAGCAGAATCACCACTAAATTGTATAACGTTAGAAGAAATTAATAGTAATAAGATGCTAGAAGATGGTATTATAATTGAACCATTTTTCCCATTATCTTTGCACTTTGTGCGATTATTAGTTTCTAACTGTGAGTATAATTTAAAGGATTGAACAAGATATCGGCAATGAAAAATTACGAACCTGGACGACCCAATTCAACTTTATATATTAAGAATTTGGCCAAAAAGATAAAAAAAGAAGATCTAGAATATATCTTCGGGAGATATTTCCATTCTAAAAGGTATTGGATTATTTTAAAATAAGTTTTATCTTGTAAACTTTAGAGTTTTGATTAATGTGAAACTTATATTTAAGTCAAATGGATATCCGATTACACTCGAGAGGACAAGCGTTCGTAATATTTTCGGATGAAGAAACGGCATCTCGGGCTTTAAATGAGGTTCATGGTTATATTTTACATAATAAACCCATGGTTATTGTGAGTTTTTATTTTTATTTTAAAATAAATTTTATTTATCTACTTATTATTTCATTTTTTATTAATAAAACTTTCTTTTATTAGCAATTCAGTAATAAAATTTCTTGAATTAATTGATGGTTTAAAATAATCATAACGGTCGTGTTAAATATAGGTTATTAGCTTGGAGAATGAACATTAAATTTTAAATGTCCTAGGATTTATGATTTAAGTTCATAAATGTGTTGCTTTGATATAGGTTTATGAAGCTTGAAGGTTGACTGATTCAATTCATACATTTCGAACATACGGTATTATATAAACTTGATAATATTCAAGTTTCGTTTATAATGTATGTATCAATAAAGTAAATTGAATTTATATTAACCATTTTATAACAAATTTCATAAGAAATCCATATATTTAAACAATACTCATACAGAATTACGGTTTTGTTAAATGGTCTATGTTTACGGACTGCGATCTCTACATGAATACATACAATATAATTTGCATGATGACATTATGTGCGAGTTTTTTTCACATTTAAAATTTCTTTAATAAAGATTTTTATTGAACATTTAAATAATAGTACACTTGTCCTTTTATAAATGAACCATAAATATGACTTTAGAACATCAAAGTGGTAAATCCTCCAGCAGCATACTAATGAAAGTTCTTAATTTCTTTCAATACAACAAAGTGAGAAACACGACATATAGATTATTATGAGGACGACTAATGGTTACCAGCTTCTCTAATGTCACAAGAAGACAAAACATATTAAAAGCTGAGATAAGAACCTGTTATTAATATAGTTAATGCATTAGTAAATTGAAGTTCATTATTAAAAAATGGTTGCTATGTAATTTATGTAACTTACCAAAACTCGATGAAGCAGAAGAGAAAGATTATATCGAGGAGATATAGGATATGCTGTTAAATCCCTTCTAATAATTCACAGTAAGGCAATCAGATCTAGACGAAACATTTTTAGTGTTGCACCAGATGTATCCACAACATTGCGATCAACCTGTAACCAAAACTGAGGACTTCGGCCAAGGCTTTGCCATATTCGTTTAACCAAAGCATCATACTCACTAATCAAGTTATTCTCACTACCTGTTATTGTAAGCATTATTGCAGCTTCACATAGAGAGGAAACAGTATCTCCAGTTTGACCAACATCCTCATCAATAAAGTAGTCTCCAAGATTTAATAATGCTAATTCTGGTGATGTAGCCATGTCATGATACAGTTTGTGCCGTATAGGAATCTTTTGAAGAAATGGATGCTTAAGATACACTTCAAGCTCATTCTCACTTGGTGGATTAGTAAGTGACTGAGAAAACTGAGTAATAAGTAACTGTTCAATTGACGTTGTCTTCTCTATAGTATAAAGAACAAAAAGATGAGTATTTGGCACGAGCAAAAGTCTTTAAATGTATATCAACTATAATTGTAGTAACTTCCCAATAAATTCATATGAAGAAAAACCTATTACCATGTCTACTCTACCCTCGTACACATCACTCATGCCCCCAACGCCCGAGTCACAAAGTCGTTACCTGTTTTCAGTTCCAAGTGAGACTTTAGATATTGGACCTTCTCATTATCGTCCTCGCAGGTTGACAGAATAGCAATAGCTTCTACCTTCTGAGTAGGTTCTTTGGTAAAATATCTATGTAGTGCCGTTTTTTCGTCTTTCGTGAGGACAAGACGCGAAATTTCTGAGTACAGTTCCATTGTTACTTGGAAGTTCATTTGTTCGATAGGAAGATATATTATACTAACGCTGATCATCGGCTTAATCAATGACGTATGATTAGGAACTTTCTAGACCTTTCACAACGTAACTATTGTTACCCTGTATCATCCACAGTGTCAACTTCTACCATAACACTACAAAAAAATGCTTAATTTCCTGGGCGAATTCCTTCTTGGAGTACTAATTAGCTTCATTCTCGGCTTATTGCTAAATGGCATACTTTGTAATGGTCAGTTTAATAATGCGGAAGCCTTAATTCAATCGATGAAGTTACAACCCATAACAAAACTTTTGGCGACGAACAAAATTTACTTGCCAGATATCAAAACATTGTGGAATGATTTGAATCCAAAATTTTCATTTAACAAAATGGCATTTAAAATTCATAATTGCTTAACAACAATAGGCCATTACTGCATCTACAATAAGAAATTTTTATCTTTGAAGAACAACCCCATGGAAAAAGATCATTGTGGCAATTCAACGTTGGATTAACGAAGAGAAGAAGAAAAATGTAAACCACTCAGATGGGGAAAATGAAAATAAAAAAATTGATTAATAATAGTTAGTGGTCCGTGAAAATCCTCATACATTAGGAAATTTAACACGTGTATTTTTACCGTAAACGATTTAGTGTTAAGTAATAAAACCAATATGTATTTTATGTAAAATATTTAAAATTTTTTATTAAGTAAAATTGATTGCTTTGCTTTATACAATTACTGTAATTAAAATAAATTGAATTTATAAATATTAAGTATTAATATGATATAAAATTTTTTGTAATTAATTAGTATATTTGCAACAATCCCTTTATAAGAAAAACGTAGAATTTAGAATTAAAATATTATTTATAAATTCAATTATAAGAAAATTGTTATATTTTAGCTTGTTTTGCCAATCAAATTCTAAATTGATATACAGTCAACCCTCTCTAAATGCACACACTATATATTTTCTCTCTAAATGCACGCTCTTGTTCAGTCCCAAGCATATAGAATTCATATAAAAATTTTCTCTTTAAATGCACACCCTCTTTAAATGCACATTTTTTAAAATTTTCACTATGGTCCCGAGGGGGTGCATTTAGAGAGGGTTGACTGTATATGAATTCTATATTAGTAAATCTATTTTTTTTTTTTTTTTCATAAATAATACATAATAATAACTTAGAAAATTTCTTAGTTTAAGAGAAAAGTTAATCTTTAATATAGAACTTTAATATGTAAGTCGAAGGTCGAGCTTCACTCGTTCAGATATTTCTTTACAAGTAGATTTGATGCGGAAACTTTCTTTAATCCACGATATTCTTATAAGTAAGTTTAATTGTTTCGATGGTGGGAGAGGAATTTCGTTTAATTCCATCGTCTTGATGAAAACACGATGGTATATAGTAAAAGCCATAATTTTTTTTGGTTCTTTCTTATTTTTTTTAGAATTAAAATCTTCATATGACAAAGGAACAAAGTTACGATTAATAAGATCTCTGATTCGAACTGATAGAATATCCATTATGAGTAGCGAAAAAGGAATGATTAAATTTTTTCGTGATGCTTAACACTAATTTGAAAGAAAAAAAAGGGATCTCGTTGCGTACTTTTTAAGTAAAGGAGGTAAACCTTTAAATTGGAATTGGAAATTAAAGAATCAGTCCAATTTAAATAAAAAAAAATTTCTAATTACTACCCTGAAGCAAAATTAATTGTATTTCCTTTACACGTTTATTTGTTTTTCTTCATTTGCAATGTCATTTGTTTTTTTCCCCAATAAAAAATAAATGATGCGATCACTTGAACATATAGTTACCGTGTATTGCTATTACCCTTTTGATGAAGTTTTTACGAAATCAAGAGTAATACGCGAGCATCTATTGGTTCTTTTAGAACATTTGCCAATTTCCGGATCAATGGCAATATTAAATGACGACATTTCTCTTGAAACTTGGTAATTTGTAAACAGAGTTCGATAATACACGTTAATGCCATGTGGTCGGACATGTAACAAATTTATCTCGATCTCATTTATTAAACAGGTTACTAATAATTTTATTATAAAATATGGAGGTTACATTAAATCATTCTAAAATTAAAAATTAAAAATATATATATATATTATAAAAATATAAAAATAAAAATATTATTATAAGCCAACTTTTGATAGCACAAACAAATATTTAGAGCTCCGAGCCTGCGGAGAATAAATTTCTCTAAACGATATATAAAAAATTTACTGAAGTTACTAATATCACTTAAAGAAGCAATTACAAGTTTCAGTGTATTTGTTTTGATCCTTGTCATTATTTAAGATAACTCATCGTCTATGTTTGACCCTCGATGGTTGTTATACGACGCTTATGATTTTGCGGTTGGTCATCATCGTCACTGACGTTTATTGATTTTAATAACACCAAACATTTGTTCTTTGTAAAGTTTTTTAATTTGTTCAGAATAATCCTTATACAGTTGCTTCACTTCTTTTGATTCTGTTGTCCATAAATAACCTGCCAAGGGGGAAATTAGTTTTTGATCTAATTTTTTTCCGGATCTTACTAGATATCGACATAAATACTTTCGATATACAATAAATGCGTTCCCGCGAAACTCGCTGGATAATTAGGTCTGTACGAGTTCTCAATTATTTGAGACATGTTCTCAAGGTGCTCAGTAGAAAGTAACAATTGATTATAATCCGCATTAGACATCTCGAATGAATCCATTTTTTTTGTCTACAAAGTAAAATGGATTGATTTATAAAGATTTTCATTTACTTTTTACTTTCAACTCTGACTTTGATAATGTAACATAAATAATGACGAATGTATTGTAAATGTCTTTTATATCTATGTAATTTTTCCTCTTTCAAAATTTAAATTTGCTATTTTGATTGGTGTAGGATTAGATAGCATATATGTTAATGAAATAACTTTCTTTCATAAATATTCATGTTCCTTATTTTGTCTAGCATCCACATTCAAACATTCAAAATGAAACATTGTCCATTTTCAATGAATTTTACCCCCCAAAAACTTTTTTTATTAAAAAAAAAAAATTATATGGACTTTTATAGTATTCAAGAGTATTCAAGTGTTAAAAAATTCTAAAAATTTGAAAAAAAAATTATAAAGATTATCGTAGATTAATTAACCTTAAATGGAACTTAGTGTTTCTCGGATAAAAAAAAATTTTTTGAAAACATTGTAATGAAAAATGGAGTCGAGTTGCTGAATGAATTCTCTGAATGCTCTTGCAAGGATAATACTAGACATATACATACTTATATATATATATAAAAAAACAAAAGAAAAGGCCATTAACAATCATTTCAATTGCAACACAACATGATTGTTCTTGAACAAGAACAAATAGAATGAACACCAGTGAACTGAAATCCAGAATGTTCATGTCTCGTTCGGAAATATCTTTGCCTCAAATAGATTGCCCAGAATGCATTTACTAATACGAAGGCACTTGCTACGATCCTTGACGAGTTTTGCTGGTCTCGCACATTCCATATGGCTTAGTTCGATTTACCTTGAACTAGCACAACCGACACCCTGCAAGGCAAATTGTAAATTAGATAGTCCATGTCCAAATACAAGGTTTTTTTTTTTAATCGGAGAATATGCATCAAATACAGGCGCGTTAGTATTGGAAGTTTGTTTTGTCGACAAAAATCTGTATCTTTTAGAAACATGTCAATACTGTATGTAATAGCAAATTAAATTTATTCCGTCCTTAAATATAGAGAATACCAAGACATAACGATTACGTGAAATATCTTCAATTTGGTAGAAAATTACGTGTCTTCTAATTCATAATCTTTAACTGGGGCATGACAGACATTGCGCGTTCTATAAGAAAGTCTGCAAGCGAGTTTGTATTTTGAAAATTTTCGAAAGATTCTGTTAAGTTGTTTTTGATTATAAGGTGTATCCGTATCCAAATCTAACAAGGTTGGTCATTTTGATGGATAGCCGATGCTAATTTAGTTCTGTGACGGCAATGGGTTCTAATTTATACAGTAAGGCAATTGAGATTAGTTTCATGATTTCATGCAAGCACTTATTTCAGGTATGTTTTTGTTTTTTTATTCTCAAATTGAGCATTTGGTCTGCTGTTCCCAGTAACGCTTTGCCTTTGTCATCCTTGCAAATAATAGAGTTACGATTTGTTCTAGCTTCGCTCAGGGGCAAACCATTTAATCATAAATCAGATAAATCCCGAATTTTCCAATAAAATGAGCACAATTGCCTTAAAACCTACCCAATTTCGGATTTAATGTACTTGCCGATTGCGCATACATCGTTATAATGTCGTCTATGTTCTATCCCTTCATTTTATAAATTGCCAGCAATTATTCTAGCTTATTATTTAACTTTTCAATTTTTTATTGTGATGTGTAATCTAATTAAATAATAATATAAGTAATATTTGATAATAAACCAATTAAAAAAAATCCTTTTTAACATAAAAATTATTATTTAATTTTATAATTTTATTTATTAATAAAAAAAAAAAAGGGTATAATAAACTTTTAAACCAAAAAACTTAATTTTATTAATAAAAACTTTTTGTTATCTTTAAATTTAATAAGTATAAATTATTTAATCTAATACTTTTTATTTATTGTTTATAATTTAAAAATTTATAATAAATACAAATTAAAAAGTAAGTAATTTTAAGTACTTTAAATATAATAAAAGTAAAATAAATACATAAGATTAAATATTATAATGATTTAATAATAATAAAATAAAAGTAATATTATATTAAATATAACTTAAAAATAATTTTATATTACAAAAAGTATTTAATATAATAATAATTATTTTTACATAAATAATAAATTAGTTAAATAAATATAATATAAATTATATAAAAAATATAAAACATATAAAAAGTATAAAGTATGAATTATATATATATATATATTTTGATTTTAATATTTATAAAATAGTTTAAATTATATGTATACTAAAATGTAATATTTTATAATTATAATTAAAAATTATATTTATAAAATAAAAATTTTATTAATTATGTTAAAATTAAATTTATTAACATTTTAATTTATAAATAAATTCAAATTTATTTAATTTAGAAAATATTTTTTAATAATTATTTATATAAAATAAAATAGTCATAATATATTTTAAATATTTTTATTTAACAATTATAATATAAAATATTAAGATTATTTAATTTTTATAATATTAAAATATGAGTTTATTTACAAATATAAAATACTTTAAATAAATTGCAAATTACAAATTTATTTATATCAAATAAATAATAAAGTTATAATATTATAATTTAAAAACAATTATTTTTAGATTATTTAATATTTAAAACTAAATATAACTAATTAAATAAATTACTTTAAATTACTTTTATATAAATAAATAATAATTTTTTATTAGAAAATCTTTATTTAAATAACATTATTAATAACAATATAAAATTTACAATATTTATAAAAAATACATTAATTACAAATATAAATTTCAGTCTAAAATGTATAATATAATTAAATTTTTTAATAATTAATAGTTACTATTATATTAATTTAAAGTAAGAATTCGGTTTTAAAATATAATTAAATCTGATCTTTACATTTTAATATTATCTATTTTTCTTATCTTATTTCAAAGTTTTTTTTTATATTTTTTTTTATTTAAATAAAATCAAATTAATAAAAAGTAAATCATAATTTAATAATTTAATGCATAAAATTTTGATTTTATTAATGAAAATTAGCTAAATACGCATTTCGATCATTAATGCATTCGAGTTACAACTATCATAATAAGTAATTCTTGTTAAAAAAAATTGCTATAAATAAATTTTATTAATAACTTTTATAAGGATTGAAATCGATAATTTTCATGGAATCTTTAACTTTTTAATCCGTTATACGATTTTGTCCAATAAAAATGATGTGAATTTTATTATAAATAAAAACTTTTCACGTGATTTAAAATAAATTTAAAAATTGTAATATGCTAATATTTAAATTCTCCGTTTTCGAAGAATCTTTTCCTCATTAAATGTATAATCAAATTTTCGTAGAAAGTTATTAACATTTATGCAAATGCACTTGCGATTTGTTATTGATTTCAGTATTATCCTTTTATTCATCCCCTTTTTTGTGAATACAAAGTTGTCGTTCGTAATATTGGATCAGCTGAAAGAAAAAATTTTTGACAAATTAATAAAAAAATCAAAAATCAAATTAAAACTGTATTTCATACCTTTAATGGACATCTTTGGTATACTTCGCTTGAAATAACATGATTTTCTGTTCCATCAGGCCTTCAATTATTAAATAAAAAATATGTATGAATAATAATTCACATGAAGTTACCGCTACTTGATTACATGTCATGTGAACTCACCATTGTATATGAACAAAAATTTTGGTATCATTACGTACAACGTTCAAAATAGTTGCATATTTTTCCCAATTATCGAAAGTAAAATAATAGTATGTGCTTTCGCTTTTTTCATTATCACTTTGTAATAGCTTAGAAATTTCATCACTATTCCCGGTGGTATTTTTATCACTCGAGACGCTGGCTTCTTGAATGGTGCTTGAATCAGATTCTTGTTGATTATCAAAATGATATTTCGCCTTTCGAGATGATCTACGATCTCGATTAGTCCTAATAGCTCCTTTTTTAGGAAGGTATCTCTTACGATTAAAATTGTTCTTGTTTGACCAATATAGTCTGATTAAAGATGGTGCGCTTCTATTGAAAAAAAAATAAATAAAAAAAAAAAATAATAAATGCGATTAATATTTATATTTGCGGTTGAATTTTTCAATTATTTTTCTGATAAACAAATAGCTTACATGTCTTCCTCATTGACCCAACTATTGTCTTCTTCGTTGTAACCCTTCCATTTGAGTAGATATCGAAAAGCACCCTAAGTAAAATAAAAAATTTCGATGAAAACTCTGTTATATTAACGAATTTTAAAGGATTTCTCGTAATAAACTTACATTCGTCTCGGTATAATGGTTTACAATATTCTCAACCTCAAAATATATATTATTAGACTCAATCGACTCATCATTTTTCATTGATAATTTTTTGATAGTCATTTTTACCAGTGGTTTTTTTTTGTGTTATTTGGAACGAATTGATTTTCATCGGTTTTTATTGCTTAATTTTTGTGATGTAGTCGGAAAACAATGTCCGAATGAAATTTCCTTTTTCCTTTCAACAACACATTTGGGGTATTACAATCCATTAGATAATCACATTCTATGCAAATCCCAAGTAAAAATTTGGATGGTGTTAGGGGTATATTTTCAAAATTAGTAAATAACCTTACGAGCCACACTTGTCTTCTTTTCCTGGATAATAACCTTTTTAGTTCTTTCATAAATTATTGTTTTAGGAGATAATTTCAGACGAAAGAATTGTAATTGATGACATTAAATATCTGTTTACAGAATTTTTATTTCTTTATATTTTCTTTTTCTAGTTTTTTTTTTGTTTATACTTATTTAAATTTATAAGATTGTATAGCTATAAATTGAATTACCGTATTCCTCCGAAAATAAACACTCCCCGAAAATAAGCACCACAAAGATTTATTAGTACCCGAAAATAAGCATCCCCACAATTTATTCAATTAAAATCCGATTATTATTTATTGTTATTTCGGCACTCATATATATATTATATAACTCGTTGTAAAAAATGTTTATTTCAATAATTTTAAATGCTATCGCCTTAATCACTATTAATGCTATTATTGTCATCAATGCTATCGTTACCATCACAATCACTATCAATATGTATAACATCCAAATTATTATCTTCATTTTCGTCTGCGCTCTCATCTATACTCTCATATCCACTTCCATCTTCGCTATCATCTCCACTCTCATCAGATCCGTCTAAAGAATTTGATATCTTACATTTTTTAAAGGACCTGATAATAATTTCGTCTGAAATTGCCTTCCAAGAACGTTTGACCCACATGCAAACATCACTTAATTTTGCCTGACGAAGGTTTTCCGCAGAAGTTGTTCCTGCACCACCCTTGGACATCCAGCTATGCCATTCTTTTCGTAGATTTTCTTTGAATGGTTTATTGATCGCAACATCGAGCGGTTGGCAAATAGTCAATCTGCCTGGAATGACCGCCAAATTATATTCACTTTCGCGAAACTTTAATTTTACCGATTCTTCAATATGACCCCTAAATGAATCATATACTAACATTGCTGGAAGATTGTTAGTTCTTGCATCATTAAGATAAACTACATACCTTTTCATCAGATCAGAATTCATCCATGCATTTTTCTGAAACTACACTACTACTTCAGAAGGAATTTGTTCTCCTCGTGACATTCATTTTCCTTTAAAAATGCAGATAGGTGATAATTTAGTACCATCTATAAAAATGAATAAAAAACTATAAGTACAATAAAATTTTCCTTGCATTCCTTTTCAGTAAATTTCATAAATCAGTCCTCACCTGCGGCACATGTCAAAACCACAGTAA